CTCAAGAGCAGAAATGCCCAGTGCGCCACTCTTTCGGTTACATGTCAAATTTTTTAAAGCTCAGGTAACTGATAAATCGATCTATGATTCTGAACTGGATATTTCATTTTTCTTAATTCAATAAAAATAAAGACAAACAGAAAAACAGCATTTCTACAACATCAGAAGCCATAAGAGCAATGCATAGTATAGTATTAAGGCTATTATTATTATTATTATTATTATTATTATTATTATTATTATTATTATTATTATTATTTTATATTATCCGTTTTCTTTCTTTCCGGGTCCCGCCCAGAGACCTAAGGTCAGAAATGGCATCATGACAGTTTTCACTGAGCAATAAAAGAATAAATAAATAAATAAATAAACACATATTTTACATAGATAAATCCCTTCGTAAAGTGTGCGCTGTACTCGCGAGAACAATATTTTATATTTCTTTAAGGCATGGGTTCCACGAATCCCTTCATTGAGTTTACTGGAATTTTTCCATCCAATCCGAGGGCTTCAACTACAACAGAGATTGTTGATGTACCCAAGTGCAAGATTTTTGAGATTTCAATTTCAAGGTCCTTGTATTTTGATAGCTTTTTTAAGATTTTCAAAGATACATTGAAATCTGCAGGGACTGCCATAAAAATAAGGAGGTAATTTTTTGTTTGCGGTCTCTAATAACAATGTCTGGGCGGTTATTATTATTATTATTGAGTGAGATAAAAAGAGGCTCAAAAATACACGTAAGTAGTACTCTTGTGTGCCTAATACAATTGTTGGTATGATTAAATTCTTTTAATTGTCTCTACCTCCATTCCAGTGTCTATTTGGTACGACAATCCTATTATTCTTCAAATTTTCACAGACCAGGATTACTTTTTCAATGTTTACTAATCTTGTATAAAAATTCCCGGCGCTATGCTTATTTGAACCGGCACAGTTATAATCTGAATAATTTGCACCGTTGTGACGATTCCAGGCTGCGTTTGTATTTGGTACAAAAGAGTGAATTTCAAGTGATGGCAAATTTATTTAAATCTATAGGATTCTTTTCAGAAATCATACTTCTTTTACGTGTCATATCTGTTCATGATGTGCGTTCTTCACAAGTTTTTATCCCATGTAGTTCTTAGCAATACTCTCCACTTACTACGTATTTCAAGCTTTCATCTGTCAACACAAGTTCTCAGGTAGGTTATTTGCTATTTCATTGAACCCATCTTTTTTCCATCAGTCTCTCCTTTGAGTGTCAAATGCTGCCAGTCCTCTTTCTTTATTATAGTTCTCAGAAATGCTAGCTGTTTCTTTTATATTCTAAGTACAAGTGTCCTTTTTACTGTTATGATCCAGTTCCTTGTACCCCGGGTGATGGTCCAAGGTAGAACCAATAAAGAAGAACTCGAACACAGATATGGAATAACACAGATATATTACAAACAGGAATATATACAGAGAAGTAGAAAGTGTTAGTAAGAACAAACATATTTAGTAGGGAGAACAACGTAGTCTCGACCAGTATCACTATTCCAATGTCTTGTAGTAATTGTCTAAACGCGACTCTGTTTCCGACTGCCTCTGACTCGACTGACTGACTGACTCGCTCGCACTGACTGACTGACAGACACCTGACGGGCTTCACTCCAGACTTCAGACTGAACAGTATTTAGTTACCCCCCCCACGAGGGCATCATGTGGCACAAGGCCGGTTTAACGTGGGATCTCCAAGCCCGTGATCTCGCCCAAAAATATGCCATTTGAACCCGTATAAACGGGTTCAGGGTCGGTTTACCTCCCAGAAAGAGACTCCGTCCTTCGGCGTCGCCTCGTTCGGGTTCCTCCCCGCCCGAAGGCAGATAGTTCAACCGATCAGCCGGTCGCCCGATTTCAGACTGAACGGTATTTAGTCCCCCCCCGAGGGCATCATGTGGCACAAAGCCGGTTTAACGTGGGATCTACGAGCTCGTGGGCTCGGCCAAAAATATGCCCTTTGAACCCGTATAAATGGGTTCAGGGTCGGTTTACCACCCCGAAAGAGACTCCGTCCTTCGGCGTAGCCTCGTTCGGGTTACTCCCCGCCCGAAGGCAGAGAGTTCAACCGATCAGCCAGTCAGCCGGTCGCCCGACTTCGGACTGAACTCTCTGCTTCCTCTTGAGGCGCAGTATTTATTATGTATGGAATAGTCCATTATGTTATTATGGGTAAGGTCCCATAACAGTTCCCATTCCCCTTAAACTTCTTCTTTGCTTTACGTGTCCAGTTTTATTCGGATTGGTATAGGTCGGAGCGGAAGAATCTAAACCAGTTATGTTTCAACATCAACATGAAGCGAAACGATGATGTCTTATGTAGAGAATGTTAATAAAATTTTGGCTGGCCCTTGAAAGGTGGACGATGGTATTAATATGGAATCTTGGGCATTTCCTAATTTTTTAAAGGCAAAAATATTGCTTAAGAAGACAATGACATTCAATCAAAAAGTCATTTTCATGTACGACGACGCCCAAGCTAATGTTGCTTATAAAACGAATTAATTCTTAGTAAAATTAGGTTTTTAAAATAACATATATATTATGGCTGCCATATTAACTGGATCTAAACCCCAACGAAAACATTTGGAGAATTTATATAGGGCTTTTCAATCGAAAAATCATTTTTATTTTCAGTATCCTTCACCATCTCTGTTGACACAAATCTCCTCTTCATCACTGCAGCAATAATTTAGCATTCACTGCCATGTAGGGGGTATGATATTATATAGCAGTTCAGCATTATTTTCTTTGTTTCTAACAAAATTTTCTCTTTTCTTAATACTTTGATTAGCTTTTGGAAGGAATATTACTCTATTCTAATGAACCTTCGGATTTCTATGCCACATTATCCGTAATGATACCACAGTTAATAGTAATAATTAGTAATAACGATGTTCCGTAACAATAACACACTATTCTGTCTTGCATTTAAAAAAGACTAGCAGTAGATCTTGACGTTGCCCGGGGATGTAACAGTAAGAGATAGATCAAGTATCGACCATCATAAAGACTGAAAATAAAATTGACAAAGATTATTGTTTAAGGTTGACGCACACGCTTGTCTTAATTATTTTTTTATTTTTTTATTTTTTTTTTTTTATTTTTTTTTTTTTACGAATTGGTCAAACCCAAACTCAAACAAAAACATTGTTTTCAATCGTTATGAGTCTACCGATTGAATAGAATTTTATTATAAACAATTGTCTTGTAAATGGAATTTTTAAAGCATTCTGAATGTAAAAATAAAGAAAAAAGTGTGCAAGACAATAAGTAACACTACCTGCCAAAAAAATAAGTGAAGTTTTGGTGAAATCGGTTGAAAAATGTAGGAAATCCGATCCCATATATAAACGAACACACACACACACATACACACACACACACACACACACACACAACCTGGGTTTTATAATAAGTATAACTCGATATGAGTTGTCCCCCTTTCATTCTGGCGACACTGATGCCTCTTAATCGTGTTTTCAAATTGATTTCGTGCAAAAGCAATTGTGTTTTTCCAGTTTCTGGCGCTAGTAGAACCACCGCAACGTAATTTTACGTAGTCCTGTGAAGTTTTGTTGAAATCGGTTGAAAAATGTAGGAAATCCGATCCAATATATAAACGAACACACAACCTGGGTTTTATAATAATATGATTTTTAGGTAGGTTACTTGCTGCTCCCATCCGCACAATTGATCTCAATGTTTCTCATTCATCTTCATCTTTTCCAGTGAGCATTTGGATTTCTATGTCGTATTTTCTTTCGTCTGGTGCATCTTTTCCCACATAGATAAATATTTGTACGTGAATCATGTTAAAGTTTCCACTTCATAGCTCCTATCTTGGGCTATCCTTTTTTTCTATTGACAATATATTGTCTTCTTAAAATTTATGGCTCGTACAACTGTGTTATAATCGTGTTACTATCTCTACTGGGTTCTTTGAAATCGCTCCCAGTACTCTAATTATTAAGGTCACTACCGTCACTTTTATCTTCCGTAATACTCGCTTCTTTTGAACAGTTTGGTATTTCGGCATCTTTTCATTCTCAAAAAGTTCCAACCGTAATCTGCTGTGACGTGTACAGTCACGATTTTGCAGACATTTCCCCCTTATTTCAATATCAATCTCACTATGTAAGTCAACGTTGCATCTATTATTTTATGATATATATCCGTGTTTCTGGTGGTCACCGTTGGTAATCAATTGAAAGCCGTTTTTTTCAAATTACCTGAACAATTCGTTATAAACTCGCTGACCTCAACAGTAACGCCGTCTGCGATTTCTCAGTTGTTTGTTGAGGTTTTAGTACATGAAATCTCTTTCATTGAAACGTCGGGACCTTTAACAATGTTCTAATAATTACGAAAATGATTTTCGCATATTTATCTCTGGGTAAATTTCTGGATAATTTTACTTTTTATCAATCATCGTGTGCTCCGTTTGAATGACTCCATTTACAAATTAATAAATTTTATTTGTTTTGTTTGCAGTATTGGAGTATTTGGTCTTAATCTGGATAGAATGTTATATCCAATTCTCAAAAACTTAAAGCATTTTTTCAGTGATCCATTTTCACTTTTTAGATGTCCTCTGTGTAGCTGTATCAACGCTATTTCGTCCGCAGATAAATTTTTTCCTAAATTCTCCACAGAAGTGCATTTCTTCTATCAGGTTTCTAGGAAAAAAAGGAGAAAGCGAGATAAGAGCGAATGGGAGGAAGAAAAGACGGAAGACACAGGGAGAGAGAGAGAGAGAGAGAATGGGAAGAAAAGTATTAAGAGATATGCTGAGAGAAAGAATATAAGGAATCAAGTGGTTTGATGGGCAGACAATCCTAGATAGAGAGAGGTGGAGAAAGAGAACGAACGGTAAGAAAGAGAGTAATTACGTGAAAAATGGGTGAAAGAGCGAGAGTGAAATATTAGTTGAGAGTGGATAGGGATGAAACAAAGCGAAAAGAAAAGGGATTCATTCAAGAAAGAACGAAGAAAGTATGAAAGCGATAGAAAGAAGTGCAAGAAATGTGTAGAAGAATAAAGAGAGAGAGAGAGAGAGAAGTGAAAATATGAGATATTAAAAGAGAGGAAAGATAAAAAATGAGGCGTGACAAAGTGAGAATGAAACAGGAATATATGATTGTAAGAGGAAAGAGAGAAATGGCGGAGAGAAGAGAAAAGTTAAAAAAAAGAGCTCTACAAATATACAAAGAACATGTGATAGAAAGAAAGATATTAAGAGCAATGAACGAATAATAAAATAAGAAAAGAAAAATAAGACCAGATTGTAAAAGACTGGAAATAAAGAAGAAGGTGGTATAGAAAACAAATAAGGAAGAATTATCTGAGATTAGAAGAGAGTAAGAAAACGGTGAAAGATAGTGACGGCAATACAAAACGGAACTGAGATAATAAGAAAGAGATACATAGAAACGAAAGAATTCAGGTGATGAAAGAGAGTGACAGTAATACAAAAAGGAATAGAGATGGTAAGAAAGAAAAAGAAAAACGAAATAATTTAGTCGGTGAAAGAGAGTGACGGCAATATAAGAAGGAATAAAGACAGAAAGAAAGATAGACAGAAACGAAATAATTCAGGCGGTGAAAGAGAGTGACAGTAATACAAAAAGGAATAGAGATGGTATGAAATAGATAGAGAGAAACGAAATAACTTAGTCGGTGAAAGAGAGTGACGGCAATACAAGAAGAAATAAAGATATTAAGAAAGAAAAAGAGAAATCAAATAATTCAGGTGATGAAAGAGAGTGACAGCAATACAAAAAGGAATAGAGATGGTAAGAAAGAGAAAAACGAAATAATTTAGTCGGTGAAAGAGAGTGACGGCAATTAAAAAAGGAATAGAGATAGAAATAAATAGATACAGAGAAACGAAATAATTCAGGTGGTGAAAGAAAGTGACGGCAATATCAGAGGGAATAGAGATAGAAAGAAAGATAGAGAGAAAATCAAGTGGTATAATAATTAAAAAAAACAAAAAAGCAAAACAGAGATGGTATAATATTGGAAAGAATAAAGGAAATGAAACAGAAAGTAAGTTAAAGTAAGTAAAAGATTCTGAGAGAAAGATAGCTATATACATTTTCTGAATTATTCAGTTTTAAACCACTCTCTTCAAACCACACAGACGCACACACACATACACACATATGTAACGAATTATACAATAAACAAAAGACATTAATAGGTGATATAATCTGAACTTTAGAGCCCGTCGAATCACATCGTCTACTATCACTGTCTTTGTTATTTTTATCTCCATAATATTTTGATGGTTCGTTTTCCGGTCATCATCGCGAATTGTAACGAGTAACTTAACTCTTCGTTATTGTAGGATTATTTCAGGTTTCATGAATGTTCTCAAAGAACAACGATGAGTTACATGAATCTAAATGCACACGCCTAGAAAAATCGAAATCGTGCGTACATATCTGTCCGTACGCTCTAAAGCTAACATCTCTCAGTGTCAATATACAAACCGACTATTCAAAATTCCAGCCATGGGCTTCAAAGCTGGATCATGTTTCCCGTTTCTGGTATGTCAGCCTGCGAATTCTCTAGCGCCATGTTAGGGGCGGATGGTGTTGCTCATGTGTCAGAAATGCTTTGGTCCAGTATATGGTGTTGCAGACGGCCACACCCGATCTGACCTGACAACTATTCGTGTTTGAGGCCCTGTCCGGCCAAATACCACCAACACCGCGCACCAACCGCCCGATAGCACACAAATAACAAGCTCTGCTTTTCAGTAAAGAAGTCATTTCACGGTGGCCGTTTGTCTGTCCATCCGTCCATTGGTTGGTCCGGTCGAGCAAATGGTTGAGCAGACCGCGTTACCAGTGAGAAAGCCCACGAGTAGAGAGCGAAATGAACAAGGATCATTTTTCACTGAAATTTTTCTTTGGTGGTCGTCCCGCGTACTCAATTCGTGTATTCCCATGTTACCACTATAGGAAGTAAGCAAATCATATTAGGTATAGATTAGGACAAGCATGGAGACTGGAAATGAACTTGACTGATGCATTAAGATCTAATTATCGACGATTTAATATACGACGTGTATTTTATGTACCGAGATGGGATTGGTCATTTTAAGAAAGTTATTTCAATTCGTTGCTGTTCATCATAGCGATGTAATTATGTCATGGAATTTAATAAACGCTTGACGTTGCTAAAGTTGATCGTAAATATATATCGAAACAATTTCGCTTGAGTTTAGTGTTTTAAGTTATTTTAGAGCTCTATAAACCAAATGTACTCAAATGTCATATACATATATTCGATCCCCTGAAAGAGTAGATGGAATCAATTTCTCATTCAGGAAAAAAAATACAACTGAAATTTGAAACATATAGATCAATAAATTTGAATCATGCTAGTATAATATTTATATATTTATTCGCGTACAATAGCTAAGTCGAAGGAAAATTATATACTCTACGCGGAATCATTTTTATGATACGAAGATTTCTGTTTAATTATGTATGAAAACTTAATAGATTTTTTAAAAATAATCCAACAGTATACGCGTTATTAAGAATTTCTATTGTCAAGACTGGTACTAGACCTCAATTACACAAGAAATAATGTTGAATTACACACACAGATATATATATATATATATATATATATATATATATATATATATATATATATATATATATGTGTGTGTGTGTGTGTGTGTGTGTGTGTGTGTGTGTGTGTGTGTGTGTTGTGTGTGTGTGTGTGTGTGTGTGCAGGTATGTAGAAAAATATGAAAGAACACTTTAGGTAAATAATCCAAGGTTCTTTAGTATTTTGTTTTTAATTTAAAAAACACAGTGCTCCATACAGAAGTAGAGCTTAGATTATAATTCCTTCGCTACATAAGAGTTCTCCTGTTTCAAAAACGAGAGTCGAAACCATCAATTTAAGAATTTAGGTTCCTAAATTTTCGCTTGAGGATGAAACAGGTCTTGTTACTTTAGTTCAATTTAATTTTAATAATTATATTGATGGTTTCGGCTCTCGTTTTTGAAACATGAAAACTCTTATATCGCGAAGGAATCATATTTTAAAAAAAATAATTATAATATATATATATATGTATGTGTGTGTGTCTGTGTGTGCGTGTGTGTGTGTGTGTGTGTGTGTGTGAGAGAGAGAGAGAGAGATTACCAGCATACATATATAAGAAATTACTTTGTCTAGGTTTCGACTACAAAATAAAGTTAGCAAATATTTTCTTCGAAAGGCCTAAATGAAACGTGCATTTCTTAAAAAGTGTAATTGAGAATTCACTCTGTATAAGGCCCAAGAGCCACACTAGTAGAGGATTGCAAAAAGGCAGACTTGAGTCGGATATGTGAAGATAATGGTTAATTCTAGACTTGAACAGGTTAAGATCGTGGTGCTCGCGGAAGTACCCTCTTGGGAGACGGTTACAAAAAGCAGCGGTTCGTGGGAAGAAGCTCCTCGAGTTGAACTTGCATCTCATGAAAGGGAGCACGAAGGGAATAAGTTTGGTTCGCTAAAATGTGCATTTGCATGGCGGGTCTTAGCTGTGAAGGCTAGAACTGGTGGAACTAAGGAATGTAGTTCGTCTTTCCATGGAAATAGCGATAAATTAGCGAGAAGCTTGCGACGTTTCATCTGTGGGAAAAGGGGTTGTACGATGGAAAATAATTCATCACCCACAAGTAAGCAGAGACAATTTTGGTCTTTACGTATACTTGAAAGTAAACACTGGGCAGCTCCTGCCCATATATGGCTGCAGTACTCCATTTTCTATCAGGTTTGGCGCTTGTGAATGTAGAAAATATCAGAAGGAAACAGGTACTTACTGGTGAGATACATAGAAGTGACAATTTTTACTATTTCTTTAGCGTGACTGATTGGGTAGCGGACGTATGTCTTGAATGTAGTTTCTTCAATATAAGAGGAACACGTTTGCTCCTTGTCAAAAGGTAAATTTTCTTTATAAAGATATTCTATTTCGAAGCCGGTAGACCTCATTTACACTCGAAAGTAAGATTATTTTTGTTGTGGTAGGATCCACCTAACTTGCATAGTGGAGTACTGAGCATATAAATATGGTTGGTACCGGGAAGAGAGGAGGGGAATCAAGAGATTCACTCTCAGTCGAACTCTCTGCATTTTGCAGTGAGGGACCCGGACGAGGCTTTGCCGAGAGGCAGGGTTTCGTCCGGGGTGGTAGACAGGCCTTGAACCCGTCTAGGCGGGTTCAGAAAGGCCATATTTTTGGCCGAGCCTACGGGCTCGGAGATACCCATTTAAAACGGCCTTGTGCCACATTTTATCCTCGTGGGTGGATAGATAAATACAGGAATCAAGAGATTCAACCAGAGACTCTGCCCGACTGCGACTCAGTCAACACATTCTCCAGGAACGGTCTTACCAGGAATATACAAAAGACTATATGTAAATATTGTGTACACTTTCTTGTTTCAATACATTTTGTTCTAAGTACATTTTGTGTTGCATTATTATCCCATGCATTAGTCAAGTTTCAACAATTTTTTAAAAAGAAAATCCAATAATTCCCTAGAAATTAAGTTTATATTTCCCCCTTTACGATCTCAACTTGTTATTGTTCGGTCCTTTCTTCACTTCTAAAGAGAGTTATTAACTTTTTACCTTGTGTTCTCTTGCCTTCAATATGTCCTCTGAGTGTCAATATTTCTAGGTAATGTGTCATATATCTCATCTGACTCTTTCTTAGCCTTAGAATCAGTTTCTTTATAGTTGCTGTTTTCGTGAAAACTTCCTTGTTGCATACATGTTCTGTCTATGGCCTTCGAAGCCTTCTTTTTGATAAAGGGTAACAATTAGCAATTAAAGTTAGCAGAGATATGCTTGGAAATGTCCTAAGAAGACATGAACGTTTCTTCAAAAGAGTAATTGAGCCTGGAATAGCTGTAAAATATTTATTAGCCCCACATTTGGCTTGAATGATGTTTCTTCAATATAAGGAGAACGTATGTTTGATCATTGGCGAAAGGTACATTTTCTTTCGGTTGCGCAGTCACTGGTTAAAAAACACACACGCAGACAGACACACACACACACAAAAAAAAAACCCATTAACAAAACCAAACAGCTACATCTATTCAAACACGTGTATCCGGTAATATTACGTTTATAGTAATAACAAATATAGAAACTTATATACCTATAAAGAGTATCATATTACTAAACCGACTATTTTTGAAGCTAGGAGTTTTGCTTCGAAAGAGAACCTGCATATAATGCATGCTGTACTGATAATTTTGGGCACAAGTATATTTTGTTAACTTTTTCTTTTCTTTTTTTTCTGAGGTTAGATGTCTGATGATAAATGCTGAGTTCTGTGCTGCAAACAGTTTGTACAATATTGACATTTTTGGCTTCTGAAAATAAAGATTTGTTAGATGAGCAAGAAATTAGCATGACCCCAGAGCCTGGGGTCATTGCAAAAGAAAACGTTGAAAAAAACCCTCTTGAAAATTCTCAAAGATTAGCAGAATTGTAAAAAATCATCTAACATAAGTGACTACCGGAAAATCAGTAACAAGTATTCGGCAATCTCCTATAGATTTTTATTTTAAATTTTCTGGGACATCAATCAAAAGTATTGATAGCGCGCTGGTAGTATACAGTAGCTATTTATTCCATTCTCCATATTTCATTAGACTCTGATATTTGTTTGGCATACTTGCAACAGAAATAAATTTACTTTAGATTTCACTGAGTACCAGTTGGCAATATCACAAAAACCATTTAAAAATGTATTTATGAATAATTCAAAATATATAAGAAATAAAAAAAGGAGTAATGGATAGCGGCTCGAACTGAGGAATCGAAAATCCAAGTTCGAAATCCAGTCGAATCCATTACATTCACTTACGTGCTATTACCCTAATCTTTAATATATATATATATAAAATCTTTTTTTACTAATATATATATATATATATATATATATATATATATATATATATATATATATATATATATGTGTGTGTGTGTGTGTGTGTGTTGAAGATATAACAAATGCCGAATATACAACATAACTCCTTTCTTGACAAAATTAATACTGGTAAA